CTCGCTCCAGCGCGCGTGCGCACATGCTCATGCCCAACACGCGCGTACTTAGTGCGCTCACGCGGGTGTTGCACCACAACTTCACGCTGGATGGCTAAAAGCCTCCGAATGATATCCCTATTTAATATATCCTGCTCAAGCGTGATGGCCGCCATTTCCTGGGGGACAGCCGCTCGACGGGCCATCTCCCCAGCACAGGCGTCGGCAACTCCATTCAAAAGCAGTTCGATCGACGTGAGACAGAGGGCGTTGACCTGGGGGCCTGTGGGGTGGCTCTTGGTCCAGCGGAGGTCGATATCACCTTCTCGGGCGTCAAGGACTTCCCAAAGGCGAACCCAGAGGTCCAGCATCTCAGACTTGGCCAGCAAGGCCCGTGGACGTCGGAAAGCTCGCACAACAGGAAAATAATCACTGAACACCAAGATACGCCCATACGTATACTGACACACATAAATCAACGCGAGAAGTTCAGCACGTGGGCTAAACTGTTCACCTCCCAGGGTCCCCGCGATGCCCCCATCGATGTTGTCCAGGGTAGCACCTAGTCTAACGCAGGCCCACCCACAACGCCTTAGTCTCTCATCCTTAGCGTGCTCCCCCCCCCGATCCGTCGATTCCCCAAACGCCCCCTTGGCAGACAGGCAACTCCTCGAACGATCCCCAACCAATGGCGCTTTCAAACGCGATCGGCAGATGTCCAACCGTCCTGTCTAGAGGCATAAGGCCCCGACACCAGAGGGCAGGGCAATCAACATCACGAGCAGCTTGCTCGCGGAGGTGAGCTGTACGCTCCACAACTGGATCTGGGATGGAATCATTACTCCTGCAGTCCCAAAACCTGTGGAAGGGGGTCTCACAAACCTCCCCGCAGCGCGGGCAGATACCATTAGAAACCGTGTGGTATCCTTCATCATGTAACCTCTGGTCAGTCCAGAAGCCAGCAGAACAAAGGTTCCAAAGCAAAGCCTGCCCCTCGTAATCGAAGTCTTTCCCCAATCGATTGATCTCCTGTTTGAGGACCATGAAATCAACCCCCGAAGCGATTCCATACCCATGGTAATGCTTGGCAGCCTGTCTCCAGACCAGGCCGCTGCACGTGGCCCTAATAGCGCGCCGTAAGGTCACGGCAAAATCCAGGGCCTCAGTGTAGAGGTCGTTGCCAAAATTATCTCGCCAATGCACTGGATACAATGGGCACCAGCCCAGATCAAGCAAGACAGCAACAGTAGCGGCGATCGGCCCACGGACCCGTTTCCAAACCTGGTTCCTGGGGATACTGACGTACTCCTGAAACCGAGCCTGCCAGACCTGGGAAGCACGCAGTTTCTCCTTATCAGTAAGGGATTTCCAAAGAGTCACAAACCCAGATAACTGTTCACGCCGCAAACGAAAAATAGGATCATTCTTCTCGGCCCCGAAGACACTCAGGATGGTGGTAGAGCAAGCTCCAGCATGCCAGTGGCCAGAGCAGACAGCGGCCTGCCCGCGCGCACTCTGCACTTGGGCCCCAGAGAGGCCAGCAACATGGTGGCCCCAGGTGCCTACAGCGAGCACGCCTGGTTTGTAGAGCTTAGACGATTTCTTGACCAGAGTTGTCAAGTAGCGCACTTTCTTACCTCGAGCTGCGGCCTTCCGCCGCCTGGCACGAACAATGGCAGCAGTCCTCCTCCTTCCTGCCGTGGTAGCCGTACCCAAATCACGCGTAACATCTTCAACCCTGACAGGGAGGCCTGCTGCTTTCAAATCAGTAGCGACAAGAAGTGCAAGAGGCCGTCGGTTCGCGACAACCGCAGACTTATTAGACAAAACAAGCTCGGCTGCATTAACCGAATGGCCTAGCTGAACTGCTGCGGCAACAATCTGCCGTCGGACCTGGTCTTCAGCTCCCTGGCACACCTGGGATATGTCGTCAACGTAAGACCTGATAGACACACTGGGATTCCCAAAGAAGTACCGATTATGCACATCATCCAATATCTGATATAGATACACCTTGACCCAGGACATAGACTGCATACATCCAGGGGGGACGCCAATCCCAGCAGGTATGATCTGGGAGCAGAAGCCGCTACTCTCGAGCATCCTGGGGGCCACGTGCACAAGGAGGCCCAGGTGCAGGAGGTGCGGTGGGCACCTCAAAGCAGTGGCGAAACGCACAAGCCTAGCAGGGATAACAGTATCAAAGAATTTTTTGAGATCCCAGTGGATCGCAACGCTGGAGACTTCCTGGAAGGCGGCAACCTCATGAGACAGCTCTCGGCGAAGCGCAGCTTGAAGGGCGGAACTGCCCTTGATGGCGTCATCCCAAAAGTCAACGTGGCCTTGACTCCAGGCCGCCAAGAAATCCCCGCGAACTTTACAGTTGATGCGGTAAAGGGTGGGGCATTTGCAAACGGGGCGCTCATCAACCTTGCTTTTGGGAAGCAAGCAAATAATACTAAGGAGGGTTTGGGCAGGCCACATCATATTGGCCTCACAATCATTCAAGAGCCCGACGAGAGCATCGGCGGCACCAGACTCCAAGTCCAGAAAATCCCGAGGCCTCCATCCGTCCACCCCAACCGCCGTGGTCTCGGAGAAGACCCTCGCAGCGAGGTGGAGGTCCCTGGTGGTAATTTCGGGAAGCTCGGGCAACAAATCCAGCGCACTAACACGCAGCTCGTCCAAAGCCCCAGTCAACTGTCGAATCTGGATTGGGCTGGCAGTCCAAAACCCACCCCAGATTTTTTCACGGTGAGCCATCATCTCCTGTGGGAGCTGGAGGATACCTTCAGGGACAACAAAAAACTCTAATCCCTCCTGCTCTTCACGCCTGAGCCAGGCGTGAGCTTTGGAGGCACCTCGGGGCAGCGCCTTCAACAGCCAGTCCTTAATCGCCTTAGCTGCTGACGCGCGGGCAGCCTGCCAAGCCTTAGAGAGGACTGCCGTGCAACGATCTATCATCTCCTGACATCGGTCCAGATCAACCGATTTCAAATCGCAAAGCTGAGCCTGCCACTGGTGGGCAATCTGGTCGGCAGGCAGACACTCGCAATGCTGTAGGACTCGACGTCCAAGTGCTCCCAGCCGAGAAGAGATGGATATTAGCATACGACCATAACCTTTCTTAAGAGCAACGCGCATCTCATACAACTTCTGGGAGACAGTGGACCAGTAAGTAAGAGTCGGCTGGGCAAAACACCCACTTCGCCGAGCATGATCAGTAAGAGTAGCATGTCGGAAACCCACAAAATCACCCCGGCCTCGATAAACCTCCATATCCTCATCATCCCCAACAACGACTGACATCATCATCCTCTCCTTCGTGCGAGACCATAAGAGATAAGACGAGGTCAGCTCGTGAGAAAGGTGGGCCTGGACATGAGGAAGCTGGGGCTGTAGTGCTGCTTGTGGTGGAGTCCACTCCGCCAGTTCAGCATTAAAGTGGTATTCCCAGGGTAGCACAGGTCCTTCATACTCAGGCAAGACTTTTGGCCGCACACGCTTGGTCATCTCCTGTGACAAGGCTGCATGCGGCAAGCGGACCTCGAGGCAACAGTGAGTCTTAAAGGGGGAGGCCTGGTACTTGGACACGCGCAAGTAAGGAGCCAGAGTATCACTGGCAATCACATAGTCAATCAAGGACCCACCGCCATTGCTGCACGTGAAAGAGACACCTGCAGGAGGCAAAGCTTTCGCACGAGTCATCTTCAGAAAGCCACATACCTCCATGTGATCCAGGCCTATGTTGTAGTCCCCCATCAGAAACCATGGAATAGTAAGCGTGTTCACGAACGCTGTGATTTCTTTCATCTTCAGGATGTTTTCCCCCGAGACCCCCAGGTCAGCTATCATATATACAACGCCGACGGCCATCGCGCAGGATTGGGTTCGGAGCTCCAGAAACATCCAGCCATTACCAGCACCTACGTCCCGAATTTGGCCTGCATGGGCCAGAAAACGTTTGAAAAACAGGCCTTTGTGCACCGCCGCTCCTACACCACCATGGGCCCCGCCGCCAGGAGAGGGCGAGGCAGGGAGGAAATGGGGGCGCCACCCAGCGGTGGCCACATCACGCTTAGCCGACTTCAAATCGGCGGGGAGCTGGCGGTGTTCAGCGAACATAAAGGCGTCAGCCTTACCATACAACTGCGAAACGAAAGATTTAGCCAGAGCACTCCAGCTAGTTATGTTACAAAAGAGCAGGCGCAGCCCAGACTCACTAAAGCGGCGGCGGCATCTCCGCGACCGCAGCCTTGAAGAGCTCCTTGAACCCGGCACCAACTTCACGCTGCACACGTCGCATGCGCTTGGCTGAGCGGGTGTGGGCTTTCTCGAACATGAGGTTCTCCATGCGGGTCTGGTCTGCATCAGCCATTGCACCTTCCATAGAGCGTTTCTTGAGCGCAGCCAATTCTTCAGCACGCTCTGGGGGGAATTCACCAGCCTCAGAACCAGCATCACTTCCAGCGTCAGACTGGGCACTGTCGTAGATCTGCTTCTGCATCTCCGCGAAACGTGCCACCAATCCATAGGGAAGGTTGTTGGCCTGGCAATACTCGCGAATCTGGGGAGCATCCATAGAATGTAATTCAGGGATGTCGAAGTCCATGCGTGGTTGCGGAGGTACAGCGGCAGGTGGCGCTCCACCAGGCTCAGCTGGGCGACCACCTGCGGGTGCAGCACCTCCACCAGTCGGAGCATGCTGCGCAGGCACCTGCGGGGCCGAGGCGGGGGCGGCCGCATGGGCCGCGCGAGCAGCCTCAGCCGCCGCTGCGGCCTGCGCATGCTCCTGCCGCTTGGCATGAACCCACGCTTCCTGAGAGAACCGAGCAACGGTGTCATCGGCATCGCGCTTCTTCTGCTCAGCATCACGATACTCACCTTCAGCTTGTTGATGTTGTTCACGTGCTTCACGAAGCGCTTCCTCCAACTTTTGGACCTTGTTAGCACGGTGGTGCACCTCCTGTGAGGCCAGGCGCACCGCTTTGGCGAAATTCTCCACCTCCTTCGTGAGTCGAGTGTGTTCATGACGTGCGGCATCAGCATACTGTGCCAGCGTCCACTCTTCAGCTGCAACTGGAGGCGGAGGAACCAATACACCAAGAACATTTTGCAAGTCGGGGCGTGCAGCGAGCAGAACCGCAGCTGCAGCACGTAGTTGAGGGTCTCCATCGGGCGCACCTTGTCTGTTCCCTCCAGCGTCACCACCAGCGGGTTGGCCACCATCTCCTTGCTCAGCATCACCGATGTACAATCCGCCACAGCGGGAGCAGCACCAATTGCCGTGGTACTTGAAGTCCCAGTGGCGACAAGCGGAACAGACATCATACTCATGATTGGAGGTTCTGGCAGCCTTCTTCTTATTGCTGCCACGCCCCCATCCTGCGTTACCACCACGTCCGCCGCGCCACGGGGCACTGCCGCGCCAAGCCATGGCACGAGCACGTGAGTAAGGAGAAAGGGAATGAAAGGCACGCGCAGTGCCGTGTTTGCAAAGATGGCCACCTGCTGGCCGCACGCTGGTCGAGGCAGCCAGGCCTGCAGAAGGGGCTGCCCTTCCACCTCGGCCTCGAGCCTCTGGAGTCGGGACGGGAGGTAAGCTCCGTCTTGAGCCAAAATGGCTACGGGGAGGAGGAGGAGGAGGAATTTGAGGAGGAGGAGGAGGAGGAGGCGGAGTATGAGGATGAGGATGAGGATGCGGATGAGGATGAGGATGAGGATGAGGAGGATGATGATGATGATGATGATGATGCTGATGATGAGGATGAGGATGATGATGATGGATGATGATGCTGATGATGATGATGAGGATGATGATGATGCTGATGATGATGATGAGGGTGATGCTGCTGATGATTAATGATGATGAGATGAGGATGGATGGATGATTGATGATGATGATGATATGATGATGATGATGATTGATGATGATGATGACGATGAGCTGAGAGGAGGATGAGGAGGAGGAGGAGGGAGGAGGAGGAGGAGAAGGATTGATGACGATGAGCTGATGATGATGATGATGCGCTGATGATGATGATGATTGATGATATGATGATGATGATGATGTGAGAGATGGATTGATGAGGATTTTTGTAGGAGGAGGGAGGAGGAGGAGAGGGGAGGCGGGGGTAGGAGGAGCAGAGAGGAGGAGGAGGAGGAGGTGTGGTAGGAGGAGGAGGAGGAGGAGGAGGAGGAGGAGGAGGAGGAGGATGACGAGGAGGAATACGACGACACATAAGACGAAGAATAATACGGCGACGAGGAGGAGAACGGGGAGGAGGAGGCGGAGGAGGAGGACGAGGAGGATGAGGAGGAGTGGGAGGAGGAGGGTGAGGAGGATGAGGAGGAAGATGAGGAGGAGTAGGATGATGAGGAGGAGGAGGCGGAGGAGGAGGATGAGGAGGAGGAGGAGGATATTGAAGAGGAGTATGATGAGAGGGAGTATGCGGACGAGGAGGAGGAGGAGGATGAGAAGGCGGATGCTGATGCTGATGATGATGATGAGGCGGAGGAGACGAAGGAGGAAGAGGAGGAGGATGAGGAGGAGTATGTGGACGAGGAAGATGAGGAACAAGAGGAGGGGGGGGGAACGAAGATGATGATGATGCTGATGCTGATGACGATGATGATGATGCTGATGATGATGATGATGATGAGGCTGATGATGATGGTGCTGCTGCTGATGATGATGATGAGGAGGACTATGACGATATGATGATGCTGCTGCTGATGCTGCTGATGATGATGAGGCGGATGAGGATGAGGAGGCGGAGGAGGAGGAGGGTGAGGATGAGGGCGATGAGGATGCTGATGATGATGCTGATGATGATGAAGATGATGATGATGATGATGATGATGATGATGATGATGATGATGATGATGATGATGATGCTGATGATGATGATGATGATGATAATGATGCTGATGCTGCTGATGCTGATGATGCTGATGTTGATGCTGCTGCTGCTGATGCTGCTGATGATGATGATGATGCTGATGCTGCCGATGATGATGTTGATGATGCTGATGCCGCTAATGATGATGATGACGATGATGACGACGATGATGATGCTGTTGATGATGATGCTGCGGATGATGACGATGATGATGATGATGATGATAATGATGATGATGATGATGCTGATGATGATGATGCTGATGATGATGATGATGTTGATGAGGATGATGTTGCTGCTGATGATGCTGATGATGATGTTGATGATGATGACGATGATGCTGATGCTGCTGGTGCTGATGATTTTGGTGATGAGGATGATGCTGATGATGCTGATGATGATGACGACGATGACGAGGATGATGAGGACGCTGATGATGATGCGGATGATGATGATGATGATGCTC